GACCATACCCGATACGTTTGGAAGAGGTGCGACCCTTATCATTGCGAGCCGTGGAATTTCCTTCCCCGGTCCCGCGCGCACGTGCATGCACACACCGCGAACTCCAAGAATTTATCGCGAATGCGATATATGCCGGTGGTGTTTATCGGGGCCATTTTTCAGCGCTCGTACAGGTGATGAAAAGGAAAAAAAAAAAAAAAAAAACAAGGAAAAAAACACGCTTGAGCGCCGATTTTCGAAAAATAAGCCCGAGCAGTGGAAAAATATGCGCGTTTGTCGCTCGTGTAAGCGGGCGAAGGAAAGAGAGACGTCTGAATTATGTACCAGATGCAAATCCCGACGGGATTGTCGCATTGTCCGGTACACACCGGCGAGCTCCATTCATCTTTCGGCGCAGCCTCCTCGGAAATTCTTGCCGAGAAATCGGAATTCGCGTCGCTCGCGCTTCAAACACGTGAAAAATTATCATCAGTAGCCCGAGCAGAGCCGATCTCGCGATTAATAGCCAAAGGTGAAATTCCTCGAGAAAAGCCATATCGTCGACACGAGAGACGCGATTCTTAAGACCCAAGTCCCACTGGGTTGTGTGTGTACATGTGCACGGCATTGCCGGGCAAACGCGGGAGCTCGGGGTATTAAAGAGCGAGCGAGCCAATTAGGTGGGCGGGCGTCCTCGGAGCTGAAATAAATCGCGCGCTCGGGCCGAAGAGTCGGGGGGGGGGGGGACAAGAATATCGACTGTAACCTATTAACTTGTAAATTGCTTCCGACTGCGCGGAGCAAAGAAGAAGAGGAAAAAGAAGCGCATAAATTTTCCGTATATAAAGCCCGAGCACGGCCCCAAAAGAGAGAGAGAGAGGGGGCGGGGGACCCGCGTCACTCCGTCCAAATGGGTCGAAATCAGCAGCAGTTCATAAATAAGAGCGATGCGAAATTACAAAGTCGCAAAGTTCAACGCTCTCTTTTTTTCTCCCTCTCAACTCACCTTCTCGCTCTCCTCGTCATTCTCCCCCCCCCCCACTCCTGTACGTACGAGTTTCGTACTGCGCAATTTGAGGTGCGAGAAACACCGTGTTATCGCGATAAATACGAGGAGCCGGGATTGATAATTAATTTAGCCGCTCTCGTTGGGCAAATGGGTTGGTAAATAAAAGAGTCGGCGAGCGGCTCGTGATAAATCAGGCGAAAATTGGGGCCCCAGCGATTGGGAATAACGAAACCAATCGGCCATACGTGTGCTATAGTACTGAGAAAAGTCGTTATACGTATGCGTTTATGTGGATGGTGATGAAGTATCAGGGAAGAGTTATTTAACACCAGTTGAGAGCAGAGCGTAGCGTATACAAACGTACAAATATAAAAAATAAACATAATATACGAAACGAGCGATGCGTTGTTATGCGAGTTAAGCGGCGACGAGACAATCGGAGGACGGGTATTACGGCGCGTGGCGATCGATCATCGTCACCTCGACGCTACTGCGCCACGAAACAATCGCGTACTACACCGACGCGTATAGATATATGTATACGTAGAGGTGGAGGAGAGACGAGGAAGTACAACCGTGGCCATCTTATTTGGTACGTGAAGAGGGTAACATAAGATTTTAAAGAAAGAGTTCACAGAAGGGGTATAAGAGGCAGCACAGCTAAAATCCATCCCCCGATTCCCCAGTGCTCTCACGCGTTGTGTCATTGGTCGCGCAACCGGAGCTCCTGCGGGAACACATGTGTGTGTTTTGGCAGCCCTTCTTTCCCCCTCCCACTTTTGTTGATCCGTATGGGTGTCCAGCCCGTAGAGTGCGCGGAACACGCTGATGTATAAAATAACAATAAATGAAAAAAACAACATAAAGAGTGTCGAGAGCCGAACAAATGAAACGGCTGCCGCTGTTGTCGAGGCGGAAGAAAAAAAAAAAGAAAAAAAAACAGGGAGAACGGGCGAGCCGAAAAATTTCCCAGCTGTTCGCTGGGCGTTATCTGCCGCGAGAATCAAAGATGGCGAGTCGCTCCTGCTGCTCGTACCTCCTGTGTCGGTATATGTGTATGTATATATACATGTATTATACCGGTGTGTTTGTGTACGCGAGGCTTCAACCCTTGCTATCCGCGCCCCATCGGGGCCTGCGCACACAGTGACTGACGCTACTACGTACATTATTCCGCACAATGGGAGCCTGCCTGTCTACCCCCCTCCTGCCGCGCCCAGGGGGTTCTCTGCTTAGCTCAATGCGCTTAGCACCCGCCTCGGCTCGTCCCTGTTTGTCGTATGTATATACGCCGCTCGAGTGCTGCTCGCCACCCATTTTCGGCTACCTTTTGATTTTTTTTTTTTTTTTTTTTATTTCCTACGCAGACTCTCCATACACGCGAGCTAAAAATCTATACCTTTTTTTTCCCCTAATCAAGTACCGATGCATCATTAGACGAGCTTTGTCAAACTTTCCGGCCGAAATTAGCTCGATCCTGTCTGAAACGACACGCTTGTAATACGTACATGATGATGATTGTTGGTGCCCCCTGCATATATGACCCACCAAAATGTCCGCGCGGCAATAAGTACCTATACATAATACCAGTGGGTCCCTCGACGCGGGCATATCAAGTATTGTGTATACACACCCGATGGTCGTGCCGTTGCGCGTATAATACATCATATCTAAGATCTCGTTCTCTTTGAGTGTAGTTTACGCTGTGTTATGTATTCTTTTTGTCTCCATTATAGACAACACACCAACCACGCATCTGCGACCGAGAGACGTTGGACTCCCGTAGACCGGCCCGAGCCCCCCATGTAAAAAAAAATATATATATATATTTTACGGCGCACATTGTGCGAAAGACATATGTCACCCGCACGTGGACTCCATCGTGGAAGTACATTATATGCCCATACCGTCCAAATACTAATTTTACGCGGCTACATATATCCCATATACATATACCCGGTGGAGAGATCACGGAGGGATGATAAACAAGCTGTGGCTCAACTAACATGCGGATAATTGTTGCACGCTCGTCCGAATGTGTCTTCTCTCCGCACCCCCTTGTTCAAAATTTCTTCGTCAAATATACTTCCCGTCCATATATACGTTCGTCGTTTTCGCGTCGATCCGTGGCCAAGATGACGCAGAAATTTTTTGTATTTCCTCAAACGCTCTTACTCCGGCTGGTACACGCGCACTTTGGCTATGACGCGAACGTAGGATATCATTGACAGTTCCAGATGTAATACAGATTTTGCTGCCAACGAAAAGCGGGGGGAACCTGTCGAGTCACTGGATGGCCGATAATTTGCGCCGTCCGAGGGGAATACTATTAATTCAATTGAAAGTAAAAGATGTCCGGGGCGCTAAAGCCTCCGGTGTTTTTGCATGAATTTTTCATGCGAACGAGGAAACTACGCGACGAACGAATTTTCAGTGCATTAGAAAGGACAAAAATAGAAATAATTCACGATGCGATAGGGGCCGCAATAATTTGTTAAAAACGCGTTGTATAATTTGTTGGAAACACGAATCGCACACGTGCTCTCTAGGACGCGACCGATCCATATAAAAATTGACACGAAGAGTGAAATTTTTTATTCAGACCTCGCACTAATGAAGGATAGGAAAAAAAAAAAAAATCGAAGCCCCATTATGAATAGCCGGGGCTGAAAACACATCGGAACCGAGCAGGCGGTGAAAGTCCAGAGGATAGGAACGCGGGGGCCAAACATTGTGACGAGCCGACCCGCCCACCTATCAGTCAAACGGTAGGTGCGAGCGGCTACCGGTCCGCAGTAGCTACACCCTCGCGTGTGTTGCGTACACGTGGTGTTTGTGCGAGTATACACACGTATACACACGGGCACACATTCGCGGTGAGAAAAGTCCACACCTCGGCGCCGATTGAGCCGACCTTTGTAATTTACTTGGCTTCCCGTATTATACGTGTACACACATCGCCGGCCACGCACGTATTCATTATGCATGCGGCACGACGACGAAAAAAAAAGCGCCTTTTCACCTTCTCTTTTTTTTTTTTTTTTTTTTTTCTTTCCCCCCTCTAATGAAGTTCGTTTTATCTCTCGACTCGATTGCACGTAAACGCCGTACATTGAAAATATAATATATATATACATATTTGATCCTCTCGCATGGAGGCAATAAAAAGTTTATCACAGGAAGTGTAATAAATTTCGCGAAGCAGTTTATATAGTACCAAGGTAGAAAGAAACAAGTGGAAATAGAGGGAATGAAAAAAAAAAAAAAAAAAAAGGTGCGCGATGCAGCCTAGCCTCGTATTACCATGCCGTGCTCGCGGTGCATTTTAGCCTCATATTCCCTCCTCCTTCCGAGTGTATAAATCGAATTCTCGCGATTGCCGGTCCGCGGGTAAGGGTTGGGGGGGGGGACTACATATCACGTGTAAGAGCGTGTCCGCCTTCGAGTATCGACCAATCCGTTGCCTCGGCACTTCCGCTTTCCCTTGCCTTATGCACACGTACACGCTTGCACTCTCACCTGTGCGTATGTATGTATATATATATACGCCTTGCATGCATTACGAAATGCACGCGCCCATATAATATCGATTAATCAAGGGAGCCGAGGTGCTACGTCGCGGTGGTGGGCCGGCAATTTCTCCATCGGGTATGGCGAGCGAAAAAGTGCGGTAAAGAAAATTTGGCCAAGCTCCGAGTTAAAATGCTCGCCCAGCCGTTTGTGCGGTAATGCACCTATACTCGGCATGAATAATGCAGCCCCTACAGGTCTATATGTACCTAATTTCGCCTCGAATAGAGATGTCGAGTGCACGGGTGTACTTACGCGGATGATTACCCATTGTATGTAAGTAACTTTTTTTTTCTTTTTTTTTTTTTTTTCTTTTTTTTTTGGAACCACCAAAGTAGGTGAGCCGTGTTTCATGATGTGACAATAAAATCCGCTCAGCGAGGAGTTGTCAATATAAAATATGACGCGGAAGTATAAGTGGAAAAGGCATTGAAGTACTTACAAGGCGTCGCTTCGGCTTGATGAGCGGTCGGTTCTGGCCGTTCATCTTGTAGTAGAGTCCGCAGGCGTTGCAGAGGTAGTGCCCGGTCCCGTCTCGTCGCCACAGGGGCGTCGACGTCGCTCCGCAGTTGACGCACTCGCGACCCTCTGTATTTTTTTTTTTTTTTTGGTAGATCAAAAAAAAAACCCCGAGAAAAAATACGTTTTGTTAATAATCTCATTGGTTGCTTTGTGCGGTTATTATTCGCGAGTACGCGGCGTCTACTTTTCATCCTGAATTTCTCGAAGCAAGTGGAAAAATCATACAATCATTGGTACATAAAATTTGCTACTTCGGGAAATTCAGGGATCGTAAAGTACAGCAGCCTTGTACAGTATAATATATATGATATTATATGCTTCACGCTCGAGTATTTTCGGTATAGGTACATTAGTTGGTCCAACGGGGAGGAAACAAAAGCACACGTAATATTATGCGTGTATAATAATGATAATAGTGCAACTAAGCGAGGAAAATACTCGACATGTGCCATTGTGATAAGACGCGAAATTTCTAGATAATGAAAGAATTAACAATTGATAAAATTTCGTGTTCCTACTAAATTACACTACAACCACCACCATATATATTATATTTTACCAGCTTCATCATCATTAGAGGTGTGAGTTGATTAATATATATTTGTATAATAAGTATACAGCATGCAGAGCAGACAAATTACCAAGCGGTTACCAGAGCAAAAGCAGAAATCAATAATCTTATCGAATGCAACCACAACCAGCAACAACAACAACCCAATTGTTGAAAAAGTCCTGTGCACATGATTGCCGTTGCGTATACATATTTATAAGTATGTGTGCGCGCGCGCGAGTACACGTATACATAGTCCCATCGACACATTGTAAGGTCAGTTGTTTGGAGCGAAAAGAGGAAGGAGCGTGTATACGTGGGAGAACCATGGAGATCAATTGGCGAATATGAGAGAGAAGGGGGGTGGGTGTAGGGTTGGAAATTACAGGTTATTTTTCCGGCTTTGGGTCTTCTGTATTTGGTGCTTAGCTCCACGTACGTTGCACACTTGTACGTGTAATTTTGAGGGATTTGCGGTTCCCCCGCGGAAAAGGATCATTATCGGTGTCTCCCTTGTTTGCCCCTCGCATCTTGATCCTGTGCGGCTGTCGCCGAGCGTGGATGAACCAGCCGATTCTCCCTTTGTTGTTCGTCTCTGGTGTCGTCTCGTCTGATGGATTGTGCGACTAAAATCTCGTCGTCTTGAAAAATGTGTCACGCTGATTGGTTAAAATTTAGCTGCGAAGAGGGGGGGGAAACAAAAACTCCCCGAACAACGCCGCGTTCCCGTATTTTCCGGTTTTCTCCGCTTCGGGCTGTCGATAGCATCAGCGATTTTTCAGGACGCACGCGATAGCTCCCGATCTTTTTTTTTTCTCTCTTCCCCCCTCCGAACGTCAAGAGCCACTTACGTTAATTACAGAAGCTAATTTTTTAGTAACCGGAGTGAAAAAAACTTTGCGAAAAGTACGTGGGACGATGCGTTTCGGTACAAAAAATCTCGACTGATGGTCCCTCGGTCGCTGCAGGGGAATTTGAAAAATCCAATTGCTGTTTGGCGTTTGGCGGTGTTGTGAAAAATATGGTACGTCAAAAATCAAAATAACAAAACGTAGCCACACCACATTGAATAATAATAAAAAAAAGAAAAATTCATTTGGTGCTCTCGTGTTGTATAACGGCGACATGGATACAGATTGTGCGCGCACTTGTGGGTGCCACTTCAAAAACATTGTTGAAGGAAAAAAAAAACAAAGAAGATTTATAAAAAAAAAGTCGGTGAGAGGCAAAATACAAAAATCGTGATATCCTCTTTGACACAAAAACAGAGCTGCGTGTGTACATGTGACGAAGACAACGGCCGGCAACGGGACTGCTGTCAAAAGTGTGTGATTTATCATCCATCATAGTCATGAATTTCGTGTCGACGACTATAATAAATATATATATGTATAATATTATGATAAACATGGGTGTGTACAATGTTATATACTGCAAGCGTTGGACGACCGCCACCGAAAGCTCAAGAGAGGATTGAACCAAAAATCATGTGAAATAACAAAAAAGAACCAAAAAAAGAAAAAAAGGAAATTGTGTTAGTTTAAAGCAGAACAAAGTAATGAAAGTCTGCTGCACTTGACGTCTGATATTCATGAAATATTAGTTGAAAAAAAAAAAAGAATGGTTAGTACGAAGTTTCGGTGAAAACAAAAGAACGACGTCAAAGCACCGCAGACCAGAAAAACCAAACAAAAAAAAAAAAAAAAAAAAAAGAATAGCAAAACCGGAGGAGAGTCGAAGCGAGTGTTGTGGTAAAATAATCAATAAGTATAAGTATATGAGTTAAAGGACACGGGTGGTGAGAGATGGGCAATGGTATGTAATATATATAAGCAAGGAGGAGCTTGGGGGGTGGGGTGGAGGGTCGAGCTTACCGGCGGACGTCCTGGACTTGTTCCTCGGTTTTTGTTGCTGCTGCTGTTGTTGGTGCTGTTGTTGTTGTTGGTGTTGTTGCTGCGAGCCCGGCGAGGTGGGCGTGCTCTGGGCCACGTGGCCGCCTAAGAGCACCTTAGAGTCGGCGGCCGAGAGCCCGGGCACGACCGAGCCGGCAGCCGCCGCCGCCGCGGCAGCAGCTGCAGCGGCCGCGGCATGGTGATTGGCCGCCGAGGAGAATAGGGACGCGGGCCCGTTGTGCGGATGGTTGTGGGAATGGTGGCTGGGATACTGGAGGTGCTGGTACATGTTGTAGGCCGTAGCCGCGGGATCGTACTGGGATACGGCGTGGGAGCCGTACGCACCCCCGCTCTCCCGACACGAGGGCGAGTTGGGCTGCTGTTGCTGCTGACTGCTCTGGTAATCCTGCTGACTCGCGGACCCTTGACTCGACTGCTGATTACCTTCGCGCTGCTTCACTTGGCCACCCTGCTGCTGCTGCTGATGGGGCGGCGACGGAGCCCCGTGCTGTTGATGCTGCTGCTGCTGTTGTTGTTGCTGTTGTTGTTGTTGCTGCTGTTGTTGTTGTTGTTGCTGCTGCTGTTGTTGGTGGTGGCCGAGCATGACCGAGGGCTTGACGTCGCAGGAGCCAGCGAGGGCGTCTTGGTGGTGCATGAAGGCGCCCATGACCGCCGCGTGGGCCACGGCCGCCTGGTACTCGCTGCTTGCCCCGAGTTGGCCGAGTTGTTGCTGGGCGGTGTTGGCGGTGCTCCCTGTGCCGTTGGTCGTGCTCGAGCTCGTGGTTATGCTGTCGGGGGTGGCGTCCTTGGGCGGCGTCGGCGGAAACGGGAAGGGGTGTCCCGTGGCTCCGGCCGCGTGGCCCACGAGGGTGCCGGCCGTGCCCCCCATGCCCGTGCCGAGGGGGCTGTGGGGCTTGTCCTCGCTCGAGCCGTTCGTCGAGGCCGAGGTCGTCGGGAAGGGGCCCCACGGGTGCAACGACGGGGCAAAGTGCGGCCGGCAGACCTGGCTGATCGGCCCTCCCGTCATACCGCCGCTCGACATCCTGCCTGCAAATCACAACCACAATCGTCATTTTAACAACACTCCGACCCATCATACAGCTGCATATTGCTCGGGAATATTCATTCGCTCATATATATATAGACGGCATTAGCATGCAAACGGCGCCATATGTATACATTAGAGTTGGGCGCGGATCGATATATCGATGAGGAGAGGCCCTCTCGTTCCCACCCACCACACTGACGTGTATACCGTCCGCGAGAACTGCATATATACATACAGTATGAGCCAGGCTGTATACTTGGGATCGGGTCGCAAGTTCACGCGGGTCCTGGGAACGAAGCGAAAAAAATAATTTGGCCGTCGAGGGGCCCAAAAAAAAGTGGTAAAGTGGGGGGGGGGGCAAAATTTACGAGCCAACCCGTAGGCTCCTCGGAAGGAGGGAGATTGGAAGCCAAAAGCATCAGAGGGCGACGGCGTGAAAAATTTCCGAGGGACACTTTGCGCCTCGACGCGATAAAAAGTCCGGAGGAAGCGGCCGGGAGAGATAGATGCCTATCGGATTGGGGGTGCATCCGAGCGACTCTGCGCTGTGTCTCCATTCCCACACGAGTCAATCATCGCAACGTATGTTATATACATTACTTATATCCTCTTTGGGGTATGTGTGTGTTTTGTTCCGATCCATCGAGCGGTAGATCTATACTACCGATCATCCGTATATACGGGCACACGTGTATATATAATCCATACATTTTAATTGGATCGTGCAGACACATTGGATATCTTTTTTGTGTAATATTTCGCTCTTGGGCCTGTCCCAAGTATATGTTATAAGTACCGAACACGCGCGCCGATGAGCAACATTGATTCGATGGCGAATCGGAAATAGCTCAGGTGCAATCTGCGAAGCAATCGAGGGGGGGGGGGGGGGGCACAGTCCGCAGAGAGTCCTGCATACCGAAAACCGGCGGAGGTGTGAAAAATACAGATCCCAAAGCGAGGGGGTAACTGTTTATTTTAATTGTAGGTGACGTTGATTTACGCCCCGAAAACGTGATAAATTACTTTTTAATATATATATATACATGTGTGTATGAGCAAGGAAGCTCGCGCGCGCGCGCCTATTACCGGCGGGCTCGGTATATATATACATACAACGACTGCGCGTGTTTATGCGTTTTGCGAAAATATTCTCGCGGCCCAGGTTACACACACACACACACACACACACACACTTACACGAGAGTGCGTGGATCTTGTAAAACGCGCGCTATCTCATTCTCGATCTCTCGCGCGTGTAAATTATAAGCGTAAAACTTCCTCGGGGATTTCTCGCCGCGGTTGGACCTTTTTTTTTTTCCTTTTTTTTTTACCCTTTCCGCCGACGCGGACCGAATTATTTTGATGATTTAAGATCGGGCGTGCGGACGGAGCGCGCCAATTATAAACGTTGCTGCTTCCTCCTCTTTTTATTTCAATTTGTTTAAATTTAACGCCCCTGAGATAACAATGTCGTTCGTGAGAAAATATATTGCGAGGACATGTACCTTATTGAAACAAACGACGGGGTATATCTATAGCACCGACAAGCGAGTGCCAAGGCAATCGATCGCAAGGGAGAGAGAATGCGGCCTCTCTTTGGCCGCCATTTTTGAGAGCTGCGCTCATATAGGTTCCACCTCGCTTCGGGGGTATCGTTTTACAGCCGCGCGTGAATAATTTTCGACCATCTCTCGTATATATTATTGCTCATACTAGCGCGTATGTATATATACACCTCGTGCGCGGGGAAAGAGAGGAGGAAACAATCCCGGGCGATGATTATTTGGGTTCGTGGAAGTAAACCAACGCACGGCAAGTTTTGTCCCTGGAATCTCACCCTAATGGCTGGCCATTAGATAGTCCGACACCGAGAGTCACCGGGGGAAAGACGATATCTCTCTTTTTTTTCTTACCAAGCGTGTATAAATTAACGAAGGTTTGGTCGCGGAACGTCGATACCAGCGTATCTATAAATGACGAATGTCGAAAAAAAAAAAAGAATAACCCAGAGAGTGTTTGATAGGGTCGGCTCTTCCGGGAGACGAGCGTCGCGCCGCGTATGCGTCTTGCGAGTGCGCGTCGGCGATGAAAAATTCAGCGGAGATCGAGCCGAGCAGATAAACCCGGCCATAACGATAATTGGAGTATCGATCGAGGGGGAGGTAGTGGAATGGAGAAAAAAAAAAAAAAAAAAAAACGCCGCACACACTAGTCCGAAGAAAGACCATCACAGTTTTTGGGCCATGGAAAGAGTACAGAGAAAAGAAGGAGAGATCTCAGATTGGCCGGTCTCTCGGTCGATGGGCTTTGGAGGAGGCCCTCCCCTGTATACTCTCGGGTTAATTAGCGTAGGTGCGAATCGCGTGCTCTTATCTCTAGCTGGTGTATACAGAGACACGAGGTTCAAAGGGCGTTCGAGCGATTCAAAGCCACGGATGCGTGTGCGCAGATGGCATCTGCCAAGGAGTTAGCCTTTGACCGCGTGGCCCCTTTTCTAATTTGGCAAATTGAATGCTCCGAAGCCTCCGTTTCCCGTGTGAATTGTCATTTACTGATGGAATCGACAGGCTTTTTTGGTTTGTTGTACATCCGCTGCTGTTGTTTCTTTCCTCTTTTATTCCCTCGTAGAGATATAATCAAGAGGTTATTCTGCGAGAGACGCGGTGACAAGCATCTCGTATTATTATAGTCCCGAAGGTGTCGATGCAACACAAGGGGGCGGAATTTCTTTGCACTGTATACGCATCTTTTTTTTTTATTTTTTATTTTACAGTGCTGCCGGGGGTATAATGACACACAATTTCGTTGTCACGCGCGCCACGTCCTCTGCTTTTCTCTCAGAAGCCGACATTTGGTTTTGTTCGATTATAGGTACCTATACAAGTAAGTTGAAACAAGTATATTTCGAATAGGTATACGCGTCAATGTATACCACGGGAAAAAACGAAGGGTTGGGGCTGCCTCCCGAAATCTGATGATTATTATCGGTGATCGGCCGCGCACCAATATTCCAAAAGCGAGAGAGTAAGTCGAAGGAGCACCGGGGAGCTCTCGTATAATCGGAAACTTGCGAGTGAAGTTGCAAGAGGATCGCGAAGTAAGTAGGAGGAAGCGAGCCGATAAGGCGATCGCCCGCACATACGGGGGTACCATGGAAGCTGCGAAGCGTGTCGCGACGAGTACAGGGTACAGGGTGGGCACAAGGTGGGAGAGACTCTCGCTGATATATAGGTATACATGTATATGTATAATGATAAAGGAAGAGGAGAGAGACTCGCCGGGTCTTGGCTCCGCCTTCGAAGCTGGTGTGTGCATTTGCAAGATGGCGTCTCCTCTCCGCGTCTTCCCTCTCTCGCGCGCGTATAAGCGTATTGGTACACGTACGTATACCTTATACTCGCTCTTGCAACACATATGTAGAGGAGCAGGCGGAAAGAAGGTCAATCGGGTGCTTGCTATATACATATACCCCCGCGGGAGAAGAGTATAGCTATGCCGCACTTGAAAAGAAGAAGAAGAGGAAGAATACAAGACGAGGAGAGGGACGCTGCCGTACTTAAGTACTCGGAGAGGAACAAAAACTCGGAGTATGTAAGCTATATGCATACGTATGTGTATATACGTGTATAATCGCGCATAAGTGGACGGATGGCCGCGGCTGCAGAAATGAAATTCTCTCGCTCACTCGTATATACCGCTGCCTCCCTCCTGATGCCTGCAATTACGTATGCGCCTCTCTCCCTCCCTCTTGCACCCTCTTTCTATACGCTCGCTCGTTTTGCACAGCCTGCAAGAATTGCCAGCAGCATATAATATGTATATAGCAGCTTGTACAGCGCGCGACCACATATATATACACACGAACAGGCAGCTTCGCGCTTGGCTGCGCTTCCTTCCTGTCTGCCGTTGCAGCTATACCATCGCTGGTATATGCAGGGTTGTATACATGTATACCCATATATACTGCAACCACTGCTCGTGCCAACAACTCCACTGCACATACACTGCACATAGAGAGAGAGAGGAGTTTGTAGCAAGGGGTATATCCCTCTTTTGCTATATATACATATACTGATCGATTATTTTGAAACGACCGTTGTGTGTGCGTATAATATATTTATATGCACGCTTCTCCTAGCCTATAGGTGCATCGAGTGGGTGTTTAGCAATCAACTTTTTCGCCGTGGCTTTCGTAAATTATTGTTTCGTTGCAATAGATAGCGAAAGGCGCGAGAAATCGTATAGGTATATCTGTATACAAGAAACGACGAATCTAATGACCAACATTTCACAAGGTCGGAACAATGTTGCGGGGTGTACTACAACCGTGCCTATACGATTGCTTGGAGCGAGGGAAGAGGAACTCGCGGGGTTATCTACATCAATGGCTCGGCCTGGAAGCACCTTGTACATTTCCGAGTCCAATCAAGGTCCATTTTTCCTGGATTATCCTCCCATCGCTTGGTTATCCCGCGTGGTTCCTTTCGGATATTCCCGTGACACGGAGATCGGGACTCGAAAACACCAAGTAGATGTACACGAGTCACGAAAAGACAATAGGAATATCCTTTGAAACTCGGATCCTCCTTACGTTTTAATGATGGCTCGTTTGCCTCTCAAACAAACAAACGCGTGAAAATTATTCATCTATTCAGCCGTTCCGGCGTTCCGCGCGTCAGTGTATCATCATCATCATCATCATCAGGCCTAATGACTAAATTATGCCGTAAGTACGTTTCTTGCGGTCAAAGTGATTTTCTCAATTGCTTCCCTCCGCGCGGCTCTATACACTTTTTACGCGTGGTATATATATATATATTTTTATTTTTTATTTTCCCATTTCTTTACCTATACCGCGCTATTAACACCGTCTTGGGTAATTTAATCCTCCCCGGCGCTGCACTTGCAAACAACACTACATCGGTTGTACTCGATTATCATGCTCGTCATCGATTTCTTCAAATTCAACCTCGGATGAAAAGGTTCGACTGGCACGAGCTTACAAGGGCTACCGTGGGTACATACTGTTGCACTGTGCTCGGCGCAAGAAAAAAAAAAAAAAAAAAAAAAACGAGGATTGCCAGGCGAATCGAATCAAGGAAAAGGGCATGTATACATATATAAAAGAAGCGCGTCCCGGGACATGGATCCTCTCCCGTTGATGCTCATCGTCGTCGTCGGCGGTGAGAATCAGCCGTATCGGCTTGCCGCTCCAAAGAAGAAGATCCGAGCGCGTATCGAGTTACCTCGCGGGTCCGCGCGATTCTCGGCACTGCACAGTGCATTATTTTTCTCGTGCGCTCGTTTTGTATTTTTGCCCCGTTGCAGCGACCGCGTCATTTTTTAACCCACCCTACCCTCGGGCCCGTCGCTTCTCTATATACGTTGTAATATCCATCCTGCGAGCGCGAAACCCACTCCCATACGGTGTGTATCCTCTCTCTCACGCTTTCTTTGGCCAACGACACAACGCGCGTGCTTTTCTCCTTTTTTTTTTTTTTTTCCCCTGCCAACCCACGCGAGATAGAGAGAAACGCAAAAAATACTTGGTTGCCGGAGAGTTTAAGGAATTATTTGTTTAAATGCAATCCACCGCGTCTGGCGGAGAAATTCAATCGGCCGAACGTTTCTTCGAGCGGTAATATTACTTTCAGTCACGGTACACTGGTGTCTTTGCGCGCGCAAAAGCGTATAAAAATATGTGGGGGGTACACGTGTTTGGAAAACTATACGTCTGAGGTATCCCATACGCGGGGGTTCGACACCGCCAACTCTCGATTAAGTATAGATATGGATAATAATAATAACGCTGTGGCGTACGGGGGATGAAAAATCGCTTGGATCCGGAGGACAACACTTTTAACTTGATTTCGCGGTAGCGAGTACTGAATTTGTAATCCGAAGGGTGTGTAGGTATACACATACGCGAGAGGATGGATGGGTGACACGCGCGGTGGATATTTATACATAATACATGTAACAGGTACACGTACGGAGCAACCAAAGAGTCTGAAGGTCTCGCGTGGTCCCACCACGTGGGTGTAATATGCGCCGTGTCCCGATGAAACATATTATATTCCAGACACGGCCGGGAGAGGACTCCCAGAGCCGATAAACAACGAATTTCGTCGTCGGACATAAAGAGACGGACGCACGCACGCCACGGCGCGTATAATATATTATATACGTATGCAGCTCGCGCGTCCCACGCATATATAGGTATGTGTATATAATATACACGCGGTCGACGTGTAATGAAAACTCAGGGGGGGGGGGGGGGCGTGAAATTTCGGGATTTACGGCCGTGGCCAACGACACCACCATACTTGTATACGTGCAAGCGCGCGTCGTCTTTGCGCTTCCGGGGCTCCATCCGAGATTCTCCCCCTTCCATCCCCCTGTGCACACATTTTTGCTGGGAGCTGTTTTTTATTCCGTACTTATTGTCTGAATTTTTTTTTTTTTTTTTTACATTCATCTGTTTGTTTTTTGGATGCACGCGAGCACCTTGATGGGCGTTATTCTCGACGGCCCACGGTATCGCGGATGTATTTTACATTCAAAATATGGCGTGTGCGTGTAAGTTTCCGCTGTGGATGGCAAAGAAAAAGTGCATCCCACGTAAAAGTTCGCGGTCGGTATCCGAAAACGCAATTAGCTCGTGAAAGAACCAACCCGACGGTCGAGCACACACACGCGGACAACATCGAGCCAAAGCTCCCCCGGTATATAGTAGGGTGCAAGCGTCGTAGCCGGTGCTGAAAGACACCGGCGCTCGCCGATAAATAATAAACGCGGTCGTTCCGGCTCGAGGGATGAGATCTCGCGTGAATGAGCCGAGCGATAAGACGAAAAAGCCGATGTACCTAAAAAATAGAGAGAGCAAAGAAGGGCGCGTTGCACTCGCGTGTGAATGAATGATGATATCTGCCCGTGTATGTGTATGGTACAAAGCATATATATATATACTCACTGTGGGCGTAGTGGGCAGCAGCCGCGGCGGCCGGATGGTGGCTGGGGGTGGCGTGGGTGTAATAGCCGCGATAGTCGCCGGGATTGCCTACGACGCCGGCCGGGTTGTTGCCGGCCCCGGTGGCGCCCGCCGAGCCCGGCTCTAGGCTCCTCGGCGGCTCGTACCAGCGGGCCGCGCTCGATTCGCTGCTCATGTCCATTATGTAGTCGAGAATTTTCGTGGCTGGGGGCCCGCACCGAAGCGCGTACACTCGGTCCAGGGGATCAATCGGAGGGGAGGCTGGCTCCTCCTTCTATACGCTGCTCCTACTTCTGGCTGCTCGTCGTCGGACGATATGGCTGCCCCAGTGAGAGAGCCGCTGACTGATGGTGGCCCTCTAAGCTCCTCCCGTTGCTGCAAACACAAACAATTTACTCATTTACACGATTTTTACTTTTTGACCCGAGTTTACGAGTTGCGCGATCCTTTGGATGATTTTTTTTTTTTTTTTTTTTTTTTTTTTTTTTTTTTTTTTTTTCATATTCATCCGAGCGATGCAAAAAGGTAGAATCGTTGTTCCAATCGGTATACGGATTTTCATTTAATTGAGTCGGAACCGACTCTCGCGACTAAGCTAAATCGGCTTACGTGAAATTAAGAGCTTCCCCGATCTTCCGGATCGCTCGCTATCGGTCCTTCGATCGGCGAGCTGATGCACAGACTCGGAGGTTAAAATCGGCGGATCGTGTGTCGACGATCTCTGCCCTCTTCGAGCACGTGTTTGCATACACTTTATTGTCTTAACGGCGACTACGTATACATTACCCTTATGTACTGATTTTAATGATTGGTCGTTTGCAACTCTCGCGTTTTTTTTTTTTTGACACTACGGATGACTTGAATTGCGCAGGAAAAGCAGAGTGTGAATTGAAAATGGGAGAAAAGTGAGAAAACAAGTGTAGAGACTTACCCAACGTATAGAAAGGTGAAAAAAAAAAAACAAAAAAAAAAAAACAAGTGAACGCGATGGCTCACGATAGAGAGGAGATGGGCGCCCGATGAAGATGACGATCCAAGAGTCGATCTCTCGGTCGATCGCGGTCGCGTGTGCTTATTCTAGCCACAATACGACGACACTGAGGCCGACTCGCGAGGCTCCAAATTATTTATCAGCAAAATCAGCGCCGATCAAGGTCACTCTGCTGTGACGCAATCCCCCAAAAAAGCTCTCTTGGTACGGGCTACATGGCAGCGCTGCTGCTCTTTATCACCGATCGGTACGATTTTTTTCCTTTTTTTCTTTATCGTTATTGCTATTGCCCCCACCCCTTCTTCTTCCAACCCTATTTTTTTTTTTCCTGTATCAATTACAACACCAATTGCTGCCTCGTAAAATTGACGAAACGACGCGTAGACACACGTGATCGAAGGGTCTCCCGCGTACAAACGGAAATATTCATCGGAACTATCGCGGGTCTATACATCACCTTGCGACGATGATACACTGTTGTAACAATGTGTTTATATGATTGATGATAAAAACGTGATTTATTACGGCCCTTTAGTTTTTTACTTTAACGCACGTAAAAGAACCATTTGTTGGTAGCTTTTTTTCCGATACATTTACTTTCTTCTTCCGCGTGATACTTAACGAGTTTTCACGTACATCGACTCGTGTTCATTTTTTTCCTTCTTACGTCTCGGTAATTTACGCCCATTTTTTTCCTGAGAAAAATATGAGAAAAAAAAAAAAAAAGAAGCACAGCGCACCATCGACTTATTTGGCAAATAAAGCACTTGAGAAACAATAGCCGATAAGATGTACAGTGTAGGTGTTGCGTGTGTGCGAGAGAGGGGTACACCTCGTTCTCGATAAGATACCGCTGAGAAAAATGAGAGCGAGCGCGCGGTCACGCGGACAATCGATTAGAAGCCGCTGTTAATAAAAGTTATTTAGAGAGAAAAAGAGACGGACAAGTTTTTAATGGAAGGTTTTAGGCGTCTGCGCGTAACATCCAGAATTCGAGCAGTGATTTGGAACCCGATAAGACAAAAACATGAATGTTTTTTTTTTTTTTTTTTTTTTTTCCTTGACTATATAATTTATACGTGGATACACCGATCTGTTACAACGCGTCGATCCACGTTGAGTTTATAAATAAATTTATCGATATTTACGTTTTTGCAAGCAGCTTTCCGTCTAGAGCGAGAAAATAATATACACGCCTGTTAAGTACATATATATATACGCGTCAGCCGTCGCGTAAAAATAAAATCTCATGTACAACCGCTCGCGCGAAATTAATCGACGAGGATAATTATTTTATGATCCATTTAAATGTGGCGCTTTAATTTATGCGTGTACACACAAAATGTCTAGGATTGTTTCGCTTAATTAACTTTCAATTCCTTCCGACGTGCGATAATTTACGACGCGCGTGTGCCATATTTATGGTATATATATATATATATATATACACGCACGAGCTGGCATTTACATAACTGATTGATATTGTAGGCATGTATACCCAACAAATGACGATAATAACAACAGTTAAGCTATGACACGTCTACGCTGAATAATCACCGTTTATGTTAGGATAGGGGGAGGGGGGGAAGAAAAAAAATTGAAATAAAATAAAATAAGCTTCCTACGCCGGTAATAACCGATCGCTATCGAGACTCGGACCGATCGAGCTTGTCTCCCCTATCAGTCAGCGCTAAGAAAATTAAACTCTTATCGCGGCTGTCCAACAACAGTCACCGCGAAGCGCTTATCGTGCGTCTTTTTTTTTTCTCCTCCCTCCCTCCCTCCGTCTCTCTCTCAGTTGCCGATTTCTCGAAATTCAAATATCGTTCGCTGCTCTGATTTCGAGCCGATAACGCACAACCCCGCGCGTATACCCTATCTACACCGGCCGATCGCGATATATTCACGGCAAATTCATCAAGTCTATTATCGCGGGCGTCAAAAATCTATACATTCCGCGTGTATTCGGGGAATCTCCCTACCACCCGAGTACGCACATCGTAACGTTGTTAAGCCACACGTTGTTAAACTACCCAAGTATGTATACGCAGGTGTTTTCGACGCGCGTGCGTCGACTGGAGAAAATTGACGTAAGTTATTAACGAGCACAGCGTCGCCTCTAAATTAATCATCATTAGAGGGAAAACGTCGATAATCGGTCATCGCTGCCGTGTCGTTTGAGAATTAGTACGCCTGAGAGAGAGAAGTGATGTGCGCGGTGCTAATGTGCGGTAGGCGAGCTAGCGCATTTTGGTTTTTTCATCGAGAGGCTCAACCTTCGAAATATATTCTCTGAATGCCGTCTATCTTTCTCTTATCGGAGGAGCAAACAATTTCGATGGACTATACGTGGCACAATTTATACACTCGCATGTGTACCCTAACTATGTACATAGTTGATGTCTTATCGGAATTATTGGGCGATGGGGAGGTGTCGCGTTACGATTGCGTTACGCTCATCGTCGAGTAAAACTGAATTATTGTCGTCTACGCTGCGACGCATCGGACTGTGAAGTATATAATACGTGGCAACTGGATTTTTCGAGCCATTGTTGTTTATTATTGTGTTTTGGATTACAAAAAAAAAAAAAAAAAGAAAAAGAGTTTGTCAACAAAGTACTCGGAAAATTAATCCGCAAAGACGGTATTAACGTAAAAAATGCTCGAGGTGAAAAAAAAAAATAATATAAATACAATTTATAAAAAAATTCTACCGCGAATTTTGCCGATAGCCGTGGCGATGATAACGATTTCAGTGAAATAATAACTCAATCAACGCCATACATCTCCGATGAAACGTTCGACTCGTGTGAATTCAAATTAATTAATGCTGCGCTTGTTTTCTTGTCGCGCTCGAGACAAGCGCGATAAACATTAATCACGGACACGTCAATCGAGAGATTTGTTGAAAATCGGTTTTTTCTCTTCAAAGATAACGTAAAAAAAAAAAAAAAAAAAACACGCGAAAACCTTAACATTATTTTTTTTTCTTTCCCTCAAATGAATTGTGTATATAAACAATATGTACGTCAGCGTTGACAGCTCGTAATGAACTATAATATCATATATAAAAAAAAGGTGGCCTCTGCACGTAATGTATAACATAAAAATTTCGCGCAATCACTCCTCATAAATCCGACCTGAACGTACGGCCACAATTACCCTCGAGAACAATTCGCCAGCGCGCGGTACCCAACAAGAAAAAGAGGGGGGGGGCAAGACAAAGGAATGATAGAGAAAAAAAAAAGAGGAGCGGAATTCGACGAGTGAATAATTAGCGGAATCCTTTTCCGTGCGATACCCAGGGGGGGAAGGGGGGGGCACAGCACACGAGGAAGGAGATTCACGAGCGGCGAATGAAGAAATTAGAGTCCCATAAAATTGGGCCGCGCAATTAATTCGTGGCAAAACAAAGAGAAGTACCCCAGGTATATAAGTACAGCGCGAAGGTTGCCCGGTATACGACCGAAGAGGAAAGAGCTGCAAATAGGCTGGTATACCTACACCTCGCTCTGCACGATTCGAGGCCTTCTGCTGGTGTACTATATAATGCTGGACTATTATAATGCACCAGGATGGTAGCAACCACAGCGTGAAAGTGGCTCATGCCACTCTCCTGGCGTACCTACGTACAACGCGCACTTTGTTATATATATATATATATATACATATATTTCTCCCGTACTGTGCTCATGTATACGTGTATACACTTATTATATATTTCGATGGTCTTTTTATCATCAAGTGGGTATACATTATTTGAAAGTCACTTTGGAGCTCCTACACGTAAGTACCTAAATATAATACACCGAGTGAGAGTAGCCTTTTTTTTTTTTTTTCCAACTGCATGGCCAGCGAAGCACGACCGTGGACGTTAACAGTGGCAAGTAAAAAATGAAACGAAATAAATATATTTTCACAGGTCGAGTTTCGATGATGATGGTTTTTTTCTTCTTCTTTTTTTTTTCTTTCGATTTTCGGGGAAAAGGCGTCATCATGGGATTCACAATATTTTGACTCGAGACCCACCGCGGAGACGACTTTCGACGCGACAAAGGGACCAGTAAGACGATTTGCCCCGGAATAGGAGTATGCCATAATACTCTAGCTCCGCTTTATGCTCCGCGACCCTGCGAGAGATCCCTGAAAGAGGCGAGAGAGACGCCCTCGAGCCTGTATATACAATATAATGTACTTGCGGCCCGTTAAAATCCAAGAGAGAGAGAGAGAGAGAGGGAGAGAAGTAAAAGCGAGAGGTCGCGTGAAAAGAGCCACGAATCGGACAATGGGCCCGTTGGCCCGTGACAGTTGTATATGTATAATATGCCCACTGGCTGAGACGATGACAGAGGAACGGATAGAGACGAACACGGACGTTTTGAGGTTAGGTTACGCGTCGCCCTCCCCCCCGTTTAGCCTCGAAAAGTCGCGCTATGCCGAAGAGACGACTTTTTTTTTATGGCATTTGACAATTGAAATGGTGCATGTGCTTGAAGATTAATCGGACGAGACTCGCTGCCAAGAGTCGTTTAACCTGAGGGCTTCCTTCCACCCTCTACATGTACTTTTTTACTACTTTGCGTTGCCTTGAAAAATTCAATAAGAATCCATCCCGTGCAGGGATAACGGGACCCGTGCAAACTCTCGGCCAAGACTGACGTGAAATCAATGCGTTAAAGAGATTTCGCAAAACTTTGGTCTAACGCGCGCCACTCACGGAACGTTTCTCTCACTGGTTTGGCCATTAAATCATACACCAAATGTATACCGGCGCGCAGAGTTGAAAAAAAAAAAAAAAAACGAGTCGCGATATAAAACCAACTCTCGAATCTAACGAGTTTTCAATCGGTAAAAAAAGCAACACTCGCGAGGCAAGAAAGTGTTTAATTAGCAAAGTTGCGGGCAAACTTTACGTGTATCCGATCATCAGCGTAAATCCTGACGACAATTGTACATCTCGTCCTTCCGAGGTATACTTTAAGCCGATTAATCCGAATTTTTTGTTACGCCCCCGCGCGGCTTTGAATAGCACATTACCTGTACGCGTCGGGCCGATTCGCGGGTAATAATACGAAAACACAAACAGCCGCCGATTATACTTGCAAATCGTCGGATTGTTTCGTCGTCTCCTTTTTTTTTTATTTCTCACGTACTCCCCACAAAATATATACATCATCGCATCAATAAGCGCGGAATTAACGGAGATCAGGGAACGGTCGCCATGTTTTTTCTCCCCCTCCCCTCAATCATCCAGCCTCCGTAGACACACGCGCAAGTACAACTCCAGAACTGGCGGAAATCACGAGTGCAGCTCTTGTAATTTTATACAAGGATTCGCTTGTACAATTTGTGCGTCGAATGTTGTTTTTCTTTTTTTTTCCTCCTTCACCTCTTCTTCATTTCGTTGCACGTACACGGGATTAACCGCTGCGCACGAGAATTACCGTTGCCCAAAATATCGCGGGACTACACTCGAATTTCATCCCGCAAAAACATGCGTCATTTATCATCCTGTTCTGGTTCCTCTTTAATTACACGTCGAGTTACTTTACTTGACATCCGATAATTTGCTTTTTACACCACCAGTTGTACGGAGCCGTGTTTTCCATTGTTCAATCATCATCATGATTCGAGCTTACCCGTTGCAAAGATATGGTTTTACGACTCCCTTCGAAACGATTTACTAAGGGAATGAGGGGAAAAAAAAAGGAAACACGAAAATGTCCATTATTGCTCCACAGCGCGGTACAGAAAGAGAGAATCGTGAGTCAGGAGCTGCCACATATCGACCGCGCGAAATTCCACCGTCGCGCGACGGGCGCTCGGCATCGCGTCCGAGCGCAAACATTACCGCATCTTGCGTAAACTCCGACGCCAAGATAGTGGCGCCTTATCGCCGACGTTGCCCTAACTAAACACCCGCGCGTCCTCGTTCTTCTTTTCTTTTTTTTTTTTTTTTTTCTCGCCGTTCCATCTATTGAGTGACGGAAGACACCGGCAAAAGTACAACGGATTGGCATTTTTTTCCTCCATCGATCGAAATCACGACGGACGCGCATATAGAAGGAAGCCCGATCGGGGTTTACCGCGACCGAGCGGAAATCGGCGGTTTGTTTGTCGACCCGTGACGAAATGTTGATCCAAGAAGTAGGTTTTTCTCTCCTCGTGTGTTATATTTTGTACGTATAAATATACTCTTGTTTATCGAGCTACGTCTCACGCGGAGCGCGGTTTATCGATCGTGTATTATCTATATGGGCCACCGCCCCCCGACTTTTCCACTCCGGGATGACGGAAAGTGTACCGAGTGCCACGAAATGCTTCCCAACGTCAAAGTATCGCGGGGCTTGGTAACCGTACAATGTAGGAGCAGCGAGTTGCCGTCGGACGGCGGATGAAATTTCGCGTGCGCGCGTGCGAATCTCCTTTGGCTCGGAAAATACGTTAAAAAAAAAAAACATTCATCGTTATCTATCCCCTATCGGGTGATATAACATAATCGCGCGCGCGTGTGTGTGTGTGTACTGCCACGGTGGCTTACCTTATCTATAGTTGCATTGGGTCTATGTTATTTTGTCCTTCCGAACTTCTTATCCTCGTCGGTCACCCACTAGAGCACCAGTTCGTCAAGTTATTTTATTGCAAACACAGACACACGCACACACTTAATTCATTGATGACGGTTAACGATTACGTTTTTATTAATACTAGGTGTGGTGGTAGCAGTTAATATTTATTCGTAGTAAAACAAAAAGCAACACGACTATCTTGACTGGCTAGTGTTCGGTGTACTGCTAGCGAGTCGCTCTTTTCTTATCGTCACTCGCGAAGCGCTGCTTTGCGTGTTTGTATATTTGCTATCAGTTGTATTATTATTATAATAATTATTTCCTCATCAGTGTATACAAAAAAAAACAAATCACCACGGCACTGTACACTCTATACATCACAACAACACACGTCACATAGTTTGGCGAGAGCCGCTATAGCTGCATCTCTCGTGTAACCGTCCGGCGTTCTTTTCCCTGATATTGTTATCGATGCGTCACTACTGTCACGATTGTCGCGAGGTAGAAAACGATTGGTGGGTCTCGCAAGGAGAGAGCCCCCCGTTGCTGGTAATATACTGTCCTGTGACGATGACACGATAACGATCGGACGCACAGTAATGATAATAATAATTGAAATAACAATGGTAATAGTAACGATAAAGTACAGGGATATGAAACTGCAGCGTAAATCGCGAGAGAGACAGGCAGAGGCGGTCGCAGGCGCGCGCGATCGCTCGCGTGTCTCCCCTCGTCGTCGTCGATGCAACTATCGTGGCACCCGGCGCGAAACTAAACCTCGCGCGCTCAAAACACTCGCGCTGCGCCCCCTCTTCGCGCGCTCCGACTGCCTTCTCCCCCCACCTCTACTCCGGCCGGCCTTTCATCCGCCTCGTCGGCTGTACTCGGCCAAACTCGGCTTCGGACTCCCCGTCTACGCCTACGCCCGCCACCCAATAGGCCGGCCGTTCACCAGCGGGCGTTTACTGCCCCCTTGCCTCTTACATCGTGCGTCTTTTTCTCTCGCCCCACCAGTTTTTATTCCGCCCTGGCCCTTCCCCTCGGCCGCGTTGGATCCTCGAGTCCGCGATGAGCTTTTTTTTCCCTCGGCACTGATTCCTTTCTTTTTTCTTTTTATTTTTTTTTTTTTTTCTTTNTTTTCCTCTGCCGTTACAGTAGGTATACATTATATTATGTACCTACTTATTATATTCATGCGTATGTACGAGCGAGGGACCTTTTTTTTTTGTTATCGTACCACTACTGTCGGTTGGTCCTTTTTTTTTTTTTTATTTCTGAAGGACCTTTTGTGAGTTTGTCCGGCTGCGAGTGATGCGATGACAAAAAAATAAAATAAAATTACGTTTCATGAGATTGAACAGGGCTTCTATCTGCAGGTTCGTTATAATTTCATAGCGTTGAATTTGTTTTACAATTTTTTTTTTTCTTTCTTATGAAGCATCTCTGTTTTTAAGATTATTTTCATACGAGGACTATCGAAAAATTAGCGAATAAATTTACGAGTTGACTGAAGATTTTCATTTACATTACAATCAGAAACTAGAACATCTGAGCTGAATAATATTGTTTGATAAATTGTATGTTGGAATACGGTTCGGACTAAATATACAACCAGAGACAAATGTGCACTGTCATTATGGTCTATTTTGGATGTATGAAAATGATGCAAAGTCATGGAACGTATACTTGAAAAGTTTGCTATTCGAAGGTCACTTACAATCAATCTCTTCCAAATTGAAACTGTTATGAAAATGCCAAAATGCATGAAAATCCTGTAGCAAAATGTACTTTGTACATTTATTAGATATTATCAAAAAATAAACTCATTTGGGGACAAATGAGAATCAAGGGATTAATTTTGATGTGTGGCAAAGCCAAGCAAATTTTCGTTACAACGTAAACCATGATATTTCCTTTAACATTAATGGGTTGAATCGGTTTTTCATAAAAATCTTTTTACGCCATGGACATATTATTTGGCAATGATATACACTTATTGCATATTCATAAAATAATCATCGTCCACATTTATTTTTACGTGTAATCAAATGGATTCAAAAAGACCTTATTCAAATCTATGTGACATATCATTTGGTACGATCGCCTTAAAATTATCTGATGTATAGTTTATGCTTTCATACAACTATAATGAGATAAATTACTGTTCTCTGTGCAATTTTTCTGGTACCTAAGTAATTTTTTTTTTTTTTTCATGAAAATGGAAATTTAAATTTGCTAATAAACTTAAGCATGCGGTTGACACCTTACAAAACGCACAGCAGTATACAGTTGTAATAAACGTTTGAGAAAAGTCAAATTGACGTATCATCAGTTGTATCAAAGTGATTGTTTTTTTGAGAAAACAATAATGAGACACAGCTACAAGCTATATATACAGAGGGTCAAAGACGTTGTACAAGAAATTGCAGGCCACGTTTCAATTTTTTCTATTTAACATCGTACGATTTGATAGAGCTGTATAGGCGAAATAATCGTCCAATCAAATTTAAGTGCGACATATATACACATATACTTTGTTATTGTACCGTAATCATCTACACCATCTACAGCTACTCCCGACCCTTACGCGTATTCAGCTTATCATGTTATTTGTGACTTTGCGACGTAATAAAAGCTCATGTATCATCGAAAAAAAAAAAAAAAAAAAAAATCACTCGCGCCTGGAATCGTGCCACATCTCAAACGGTACTAATAGAAACGATAAACCATACACATACACATGTACACACAAGTATCAAAGAACCCATCACTGGCGCAAACAGAGAGTGCGGCAATCGCTCGATCTCCTCTCGTTCTTCATTTAGTCATCATCTGCATGCTCACCATTATCACCCATCAGACCCAACTAAGGTATCCAAGTATCGCCCGTCACCCAAAAATTTGTAGATCCGCATCAATCGCGCGACAGATACAGGGTATTGGGATAATATAGCGCGAGGAACAAGGTATCCGTTTCCCTACAACTCCTCCTCGCGCCAGGGACGTACCTATAAACACGAAATCACACATTCACGTCCGATCGGCTCAACTTCAACCGCACGCTTCGACCGGGGGGGGGGGGGAAGCGCTGACGCAGCCACCACGTAAACCGTGTATAGTAGGTAGGCCATAAAAAGGAAAGATCAACATCAGTCATCGGTACTTATATGTAAGTATATAATATATATAGCAAGTAGCAAGTAACCGTAGAAGCGATTGTGCAGCAACAATGACGAGGGGGTATATGTAGCGATTGACTGGGGCGTCCGAATTTAGATGAGACGGGGCGAGGGAGAAAACTGATCGCGAGGGGGGAGGCAAACGAGGGCCACGTGCCTCCTCCGCCACCTCGGAGCTCCTCCACACATAACCCGGAGATTACGCCCGAGATTGTACACACACACATATATATATATGCATGTATTCCCCATTTGTAGCAGAGCACGCGCGTACGTATGTATGGGTATATACAGAAGCTTGGGTGTGTGTGGAGGTATTATAATACGGAGCGGGGGATCTTGATAGGCGCTCGCGCGCGCGCCGCTACCTATCTAGATGAGATATGCCGATTAAGATACGCCCCTATCTTTCTCCCTCTGATGTGGCTCCTCGAAATCCGAGAGCCCGGCCAACAAGCTGCAACAATGCGAGGACTCTGTCTTTGGGCTATGTTCGCGGTGCCCCGAACCCTGCACGTACACTCGTGTGGTGCTCCGCAATTTTCTCGCCTCCACTGCTACTCATGAGGGACAGTTTGGTCTTTTTAATCCGCTTGATTATATCTGCGGGTGACACTCGATTTTCCACCGGCTACCTGCCACACATACCATCCATCTCTCTCCATTCAATTATGTATATACATCGTTTTACGAGCTTTTCAGATCAGAGAACGTGATTTCTTGATTTTACAAATTCTCGTCTTGAGATTTACTTTGCAAGTAGTTTGGCCTTTGGCGATTTCAATTGGATAAGCCGTGTCTACGTTACCTGATTACCTCCGAGTCAAAATTAAGACAGTTTATACGTATTTCCAAAAATTTCCCTACTTTTGTACGATTAGTTTTCATAAATTTACTACATCTCGAAGGATAAATTAATAATCTCGCACTCTCTCGCGTAACGAATGTTCTTTGCCCATTTGTGTTAATTGTATGCGCGTACGTGCGCTCAAGAGCCACCGTAGAGCGCAACGCAACGCAGTTTTCTCTTGAGAGAGAGAAAAAAAAAAAAAAAAAAAAAAAAAAACAGCTCCCATCGGCTCTCCACGTCCATTAGTATGCGCGTGCGTGTGTAATTTCAAAGAAAATGGGACCACGTAGCCTTGAGGCTCTCGTCTACACGCATCAGAGATGCAAAGTACAGTTGAGAGTGCATTTGCGAACCAGTTAGCTCACCCACCCGTACCTACATGTGTATATACAACATATTAAAGTGAGCTCGTTGTATACATTACATTACTTTGGATGGGAGAGTAGAAAGCGTTAACTCTCGGCCCGTCCGATTCCTTAATCTCTCGATCCCGTGAAATTTTTCGCCCCAAGGCTTCCCCGCGTGCCATCAGTGCATAAGCACAAAAGTACTTACACGCGTTATATACATATATACCTATACATAATAATATACCAACAAACGAAGCAAAAGGAAAGAAAGGAAAACGAGCTGCGAACGAACGAGTGGCTGGGAAGAATGCGCGCTTACAGGCACACGAGACGAGGCTCTTCGTTTGTGTATGGGCTGGCGTGGTATATAATATATATACATGTAGGGGCAGGGGGTGGCCTAAGGAGTAGGTAACAAGCGAACAATCTGTAGGAGCTTGTCCGTATATATGTATATACAGAGAGGAGTCCGCGTATAGATCAGCCAATCAGATAGGCAGCCCCCCTCCAGCCGCGCCGGTCCCCCCTGCCATTGTCACAAAATGGCGGCTCTAAATCAGCCTGGCTCCGCCTACTTCTCCCCTCCGCCCCCCTTACCTCCTTTGCCGTTGCTGGTATAATATGTACGTGCCGTAGCTCTCCCCTCCACCGCGCCGTGTATACACATCATTCTCCCTCTCTTCCTCTGCACGCGGAACGCTGCGAAAAACTCCGCCTATCGATTCGTTTTTTAGCGCTCTTGTTTTCCTCCCTCCCGCCCCCCCCTATCCCCCTACACTTTGACCAGCCTTTTTCTTCTTTCTCTCCGCCTGACGCTCCGAGTATAAGCTTTACCTATTCTGACTCGGATGGGAATATTTATATCCGCGGCTTTCTCTTCTTCTCCTTTTTTACTTTTGCTCCCCATCCCCCCTCGATTCGCTGCGCGACCCCCACAGCATTCAATTATCAAGCTCTCTTTTCTTCCTGCGTTGCAAGCCATTTTCGTGGGTACCTCCAGCACCCCCGTCCCACGAACTTTGTAAATCGCTGTATGTACATGTCGAATCATCCTCTCGTTCCCGTTGCAGTTGGTTATCTCCCCGCGCGAGTAAGACTTTTTCCCCCGTACACATTTGTTTGTTTTTTTTTTTT